CCGAGAGAAGGACTCATCAAAAGTGGAGCAAACGGTTAAAGCTCTTCGCGAGGAACACAAGGAACTGAAGGACAAGATTGAGAGCACCGCCGCCTCCGCCGCCGTCTCAGACCACCAGCCGATTGCGCCCGAAGTGATCGCACCTCCCGTTCCGCCCAAAAGAAGTTTAAGGAAACGAGTTTGGGATGAAATGGTTCACTATTACCACGGATTTAGACTACTATTCATTGACATCGGCGTCGGTTCGCGACTTGTATACAAAGTGTTGAACGGCGAAGACCTGACCCGTCGAGAGCACCGGCAACTCGTGAGGACCACTTCAGACGTGTTTCGTTTGGTTCCGTTCTCTGTGTTCGTAATCGTTCCGTTTATGGAGTTATTGCTACCCGTATTCCTCAAGTTCTTCCCTGGTATGCTTCCCTCCACTTTTCAGACATCATCGGCACAAGTATTCCTACTTTCATTCAATTGTTTGCATTGAATATTAAATGGAAATTAATTTTGCAATGAAATGATAGGAAACGAAGATGAAGAAGGAGTTGAAGCTGAAGCTAGAAATGGCAAAGTTCTTGCAAAACACTTTGGATGAGATGACACTTCAGGCCAAAGGCGAGACTCACTCTAATAAAGCCAAAGAGTTTGCGCTTTTCTTCAATAAGGTATACTATTTTGACTTTTATGGCCATTAATTGAATTGATTTGTAACAATTGAATTGTATATTCAGATCCGCAACACTGGCCAACAGGCGAGTAATGCAGAAATTATGAACTTTTCCAAGTTATTCGAAGACGAGATCACTTTGGACTCGCTATCGAGGCCTCAACTCTCGGCTCTCTGTCGTCTCTTAGAGTTACAACCGATCGGAACAAACAATTTCTTGCGATTTCAATTATGAACTTTTCCAAGTTATTCGAAGACGAGATCACTTTGGACTCGCTATCGAGGCCTCAACTCTCGGCTCTCTGTCGTCTCTTAGAGTTACAACCGATCGGAACAAACAATTTCTTGCGATTTCAGTTACGAATGAAACTGAGAAGTCTTCAGGCGGACGACCAGATGATCCAGAAGGAGGGCGTCGACAGCCTTACAGTGCCTGAACTCATACAGGCCTGTCGTGCCCGAGGTATGCGGGCTTTGGGCATATCTGAGGTCAGACTTCGGTCACAATTGTCTCAATGGCTGGAACTAAGCCTTAACGAGAAGATCCCGCCCTCACTCTTACTGCTCTCTAGACTGCTATATCTGCCCGAAAATATTGAAGCCGTGGATCAGTTGAAGGCTACGATCCAATCACTGCCCGATTCCGCCGGAACTGAAGCGCGATATAAGATCGGAGAAACAGAAGGAAAAATCGACAATAAGACGAAAATAGAATTAATTCGTTTGGAAGAGGAGGCCATCAAACGCGAGAAGGAAGAAGAAGAACAGGTTAGCCAACAGAAGGCTAAAGACCGCGAACTCCTGATCGATAAAGCGGTTGATTTGGAGGAAAAGCTAAAGCAGAAACTGGCAGAACAGCAACAGTTGTCTAAACAAGACATCGCATCCATAGAGAGTGCTCTCGAAGACATCGCTAAAGAGAAGAACCAACTCTTGATTGAAAAGGAAGAGTTTGACGACTTGAAAGAGGAATTGAAGGATTATAAGGAAGACATTCAGGAGTTTGAAGAGATTAGTGTCCAAACGGGTCAGAAAGAGCTAAAGGAAAGTAAAGCCGCCCAACGATTGAGAAATAAAGTAAACAAAATGGTCAACAAAATGGATAATTTGTTTACGGGTTTGGCGTCGAAGAAGGAATCGCTTCAACAAAAAATTGATATTCTGTCCAAAGACGGGAAGACTATAGAGAGTGAAAGTAAAGATGTGATTAGCATTAATGAGTTGTTGGGCGCCATCAGTAGACTCCAGAAAGTGGGCGATGAAACCAAATTAGAGCGCATTCTCGAAGTGTTGGACAATATGGACGTCGATCACGACGGGAGTGTCGAAGTGGAACACGTCGTTAAAGTGGGTTTCACTCAATGTTAAACATTAAATAAACCATTAAATTGTCATTTTCTGATCAGGTGTTGGAACTGTTGGGTCGGGAGAACGTGAATGTGTCGTCAAATCAAGTGAAAGAATTAATGAATCTTTTGATACAAGAAGAGAAACTCGAAGACGAGAAGAAGAAACTGAAAGAAGAGTCAAACAATCAATCGGTAGACAAACAATCGGTTAAACAAAATGATAACAAAGACACGAAGACATAGACAGAACATGTTTTAGAATTTAATAAATTATTATATAATTAGATATTATATTAAAGTAATTGAATTTATTTTTAAGCCTAAAATAGTTTGACTGTAATTTAATAATGAAAAACAATTATTTATAAAATTTAAACGAATGCTAAATAATTCATCTAAAAGACATGGAATCGATTAATGGTTTGCTTTCTTGTGGTATTGGAATCATCACAGAATCACTTTTATGATTGTCATCATTGTTGGCAATACGCTGTGTGTCTATTATATTGTTAACATAAATACTAGAAGTGTTGACCATTTGGTGTAAATGTCTTAAATAAATAATAATACAGACGACGACCGCAACCATACACGCTATAAACATGGCGTAATTCAGATAATATGAGGTGTTGTTTGTCGAGTGACTCACTCCTGAGTACTGCTGTTCGATGGCTCGGAGAGGGAAGAATCGGGTTCTGTATAGGAGTGCCCCTAAAGTCCACTGAACCTGTTGTTGGTTAACAGTTGAGGCGGACTTGAATTTAGTATAAGTTGAGGGCATTTTGAAACCGTCGTGCAATACGGTTGAAATCCACGCCGATTTGAAACACTGGTAAAAGAGTCGATTGTTATCCGCCAACGGATAGAGTTTGCGCTGAAACCTGTCGAGCGTTACGGACCAACTCGTCGAACAGTATTTGGACGACGAGTCCCGGAATTTGGTGTTACGATAGGGTCCGCCCATTCTTAACAAGTCTTCCATTGAATACCAGAATTCGGAAAAGCCGTAAAACTCCGAGTTATCAAACGGGGCGTCAGTTTGTGCGAGTTGTCTGAGCGGACAACTGGAGTTAGAGCACTGGCGCACCGATTCACCGCTCGGGTCTAACATTTGCTTCAGTTTCTGTGCACACGCCTTGAAATCGCCGCTCCCTTTGAGCACATGAATGAAAGCAGTGCTTCCGTTGGTGTTCTTCGAGCGCCGGCTTATATTAAACCTTTCGCTGCTGTCGATGCAAAGGCACGGGTCGTATATTTGGATCTCCTTTGATGCCAAACTTGTATTATCAGTGTTTGTATTGATTGTCGATGAAATCAAAGCATTGACATAAGTATTACGTGCAAAGTTTGCGCCCAAACCTAAATATGTGGTCACATATAAGCGGTAGTTGTGGTCGGAGTCGTGTTCATCGCAGCCGAGATTGAACTCCGAGACGAGAGCGTTCAGCTCTTGACTCGAGTGCTTGTTTTGCAAACTCTGGAACTGAGTGTTGGATGTGATCTCGAAAGCTATCTGAACGCTGGCGCCGCCCATCTCTAACATACTGATGGTCTGAGCCCTTCGGATCCGATGCTGATTGAACTCAATGGTAGTGATCGGTCCCGTTTCGATCGAGTGATCGAACCGTCCCATCAGGTAATTGATGGCAATCCACGAATAAATGCCCTCTTCTTTACCAGTGATCACTTCCGCGTGATTTGAAGGGAACAGAAAACTGAAGTTTTTGGGAATATCTGTCCGCAAGTCATCCAAAATGGCGTTCTGTGTCTGAGGCGGCAAAAGACGCATTCCTGCGGTCGCCAGTATGAAGAGAGGAGTCGACCGGTGCTTCTCTTTCGGTATATTTTTGGCCGCAAACCTGAGAAGAGGTTCAATATATTGGTCAGCCTTCGACGGGTCGGACGCACAGGAAGAGAGTCCGGGACTGATGTTTGTGAAGACATCTTTGCCCAACTGGTTGTGAAGCATTCGGATCTGAAGCAGTTGTCTGGTGTCACCGCTATGTGGGGGCCAGACATAGATGTGGACACGACTGCCACTACTGCCGGCGTCTATCATCACCGCGTACTGCAATTCGTGCCGCAAATCCAAGTCTAGCTTATCGTCGAAATGGTGTGAAATCAATATATTAGTCTTGTTTGGTGTTTGCCATCTCCTCATCGAATATATGATAATTAGTGTCAAAAACAGGAGAAATAAAAAGAAACGAAATTTAGTGGAAATGAGCCGATGATAGGGTCGGAAGCAAACCATCAAATATATACACTTTAACCGGTCGTCGATTCTGTGGACACGAAGACAGCATTCAATCGATACAAACAATACAAACCACTATTCAATCGCCGCTTTCTTACCCGTAATAACTATCTCTCCATCGGTTTGGTTGCGTTACAAATGATTTCATTATTTAAATTACTTTTTGTGTGTAAACTATAATAAACACTAAAACTAATACTATGTATAACTAAATGGTGTAATAAATTAAATAACAATTAAAATTAATAAACAAAAAACTCATTAAACATGTCATTGTGTGTCAAGTGATAACTTTTTGTACATTAAATTATGTGTTAATACTTTAAATGAAATACTTTNCGCTTTCTTACCCGTAATAACTATCTCTCCATCGGTTTGGTTGCGTTACAAATGATTTCATTATTTAAATTACTTTTTGTGTGTAAACTATAATCAACACTAAAACTAATACTATGTATAACTAAATGGTGTAATAAATTAAATAACAATTAAAATTAATAAACAAAAAACTCATTAAACATGTCATTGTGTGTCAAGTGATAACTTTTTGTACATTAAATTATGTGTTAATACTTTAAATGAAATACTTTGAGCACTAAATTCACACATTTTTGAAACGATCAATGAATGAGTGCTTAAATGTCTTATAAATCTGATGATTGTGTGAACTGACAATCAATTCATTCAATTCATGTCTACACGTAATCTCACATCTGATCCAAAACTCAAACACTTTTCTCAATCTTATAAACAATATATTTGTACACAAATTATGTTCACTTTTACTATGGTTTGCATAGAAGTGAACAACGCTTTCAACGAATCGATATAAAGACATAATATATGATTGATTTGTATTTAATAGCCCTTTAAAGCCTATAAAACCAGTGTTTACTACATTTGGGCACAACTTTTCAAACGATACAAACTTTGAAAATTGATTCACAAAAATAGTAATCATTACTCAATTCATTGATCACTTTATGTATGCATTGGATTGGATTTGATGACACTTTTACACATTTAATTGCTTTCATTTACTTTGATCAAGGTTCAAACAAATGACCGTATTTGTTTCATTACACGTACAGTTGAACAGCGTAACAGTTATGCAATTGTACAATTTGTACATGACCAATTGATCATCAAGTTTAGTGATGCAACAAATTTGTGATTATAATGAGTGAAACAAGTATTAAAAGATTAAAAGTTGATCCAAAAGTGAATGTATTGTTCATAAGAGAAGGCATTTCTGTCAAACGGTTAACACTTTTGGAGAAAACGGCACAAAATCATGATTTTCTCGTTAACTCTCATTTCGGGTATAATTTTACTATACTTTAAAAATGTCGTTCACTTTATTAATGACTTTTTAATCATTTTATATCATCAGTGTATCAATCGATTATATAATAAGTGACTTTCAATATGAAGAACAAGTCATTAAAACGATTGGTTTGGATTTAAAAGACTTCAAAGGAGTTATAGTAAACACTAAATGGTTTACGGATTCAATTCAATCAAATTGTTTAATGCCTTTGAATAGCAGTTATCGTTTAAAACGTCAAAATGTATTTCTAAATAAACACACATTTTATTATAATATATTTTTCATTACTTTTTATCTTATAATCAGAGGAAAAGTGATTTCAAATCTTCCAATGGATTGACAAAAGAGACACCAAATGGTAATTATATTTGCCAACGAAAAAGTCCACTCAATCTTCACAACCATAAACTCACTGCAAGTCTATTACATTATTGAATATTTGTGTTCAGTCATTACAATTAACTAATTCTTAGGATCCTCTGGAAGTATTGGCCAAAGAGGCCAAACTGAAGGCTAATTCGGTTGATTCGGTCCGGTATTTGGGTTTTAAGAAGGCTTCGGCTGCTCTTAAATGCCTGCCATTTAGTGTTAAACATATCGATGAAGTCTCAGTTCTGAAAGATATTGGAAAGCATTCAAAGAAAATTATTCAAGAAATACTGGACGAAGGAGTGAGCGGTGAAGTCGAGACAATTCGCAATTCCCAGTGGTTTAAGTCAATGGTCTTATTCACTAATATCTATGGAATTGGGCCAAAGACTGCACAGAAATGGTATGATTTGGGATTGAGATCATTGAGTGATATTATGGGCAACCAATTGGTGTTGAAGAGCCAAAGTATGCGTGTATTGTATGGAATGGCTTTCTATAAAGATCTGAACATTAATCTCACAAAATCAGAATTAAATCAAATCATATCTTTGATAAGAAAAGCAATTGATTTGAAGTTTGGAAGCGATTCAACAAAAATCAGTATTCATTTAACTGGAGGTTTCAGTCGCGGCAAAGAATGCGGACATGACGTCGACTTATTGATCACTCACGAGGAAGAGGGCCGGGAGTGCGGACTACTCAGCCTTATATACAAACAATTGAAAGAAATGGATTTGATTTTATTGGGAAATTTCAGTACATCTCAATCACCAAACATTGACGTTAAGAGTAAAGACAATACTTTAGATAATTTTGATAAAGTGTTTACACTTTTAAAACTACCGATTGATGAAAATAAGTGTGATTTGAAAACTCCATCCTTTGACAGAACCAATACTAAAGCACTTTTTGATTTTGTCCAAAATGAGAGTCAAAGACAATGGAAGTTATGTCGCGTCGATCTCATAGTTTGTCCAAAATCTCAATTATGTTTTGCATCAATCGGTTGGACGGGTAATGAAATGTTCTGCAGAAGTCTTAGAGATTATGCCAAAAAAGAGTTTAATTATAGATTAGATAATCACTGTTTGCATGACTTGAATACGGGCTCTGATTTAAATGTGCGAACCGAAGAAGAAGTGTTTCAACTTTTAAAACTACCATTTATTCCCAAACATATGAGAAATCCTTAATTATATTCTCAATTTAAGTGTTTTTAATATCAATATTTATATTTTTATATTTTGTTTAATGATATTGTTTAATAATAATAACAATAATTATTTAAATATTTTTTATTCATTTTATAAATTGAAAAATAATGAATCTTAGGAATGGAGTACTCAATCAAAACATGTTAATTACAACAGATTTAGGCACTAATAATTAAAGTGAGTTTTGTATACAATGTATGACATTCTACCTTATGCATGTTTAACGTATAACAAAATGTATATTTTTATTAATTTAAATAAATGTGATGGAGTTAAACATTAAAAGGTTTTAAGTCAAAATAATTTTACTTGTTTTGATTTTGATTAAGCATTATTAAATGATTGATAGCATTTGGACAATTCATGACATTTTATAAAAGAATGTATTGAAAAATATTTAATATATTTCGAAAGTAAGATTAAAAGGAGATTCAAATTTATTCCTACTATTGTTGAGATAAAAGCTTTTCATAACAATTGCATTGTTATAACTTTGAGAGAAAAAGTTCAATCAATAAGAGAACAAACGATTGATTCTTTCAGAAGTATTGTAATACCAAACGGTTTGAGACCTTATGTTATGATAAATATGAAAAACAGTGCAAAGTTTTAGGCAATAATATTGTGGATCAATCGTTTCCCACTACAGATCTCATATCATTTCATACTTTTGTTTTTATCAATCAATTACTTTTAATGCAGTATTTCTTTTATCATATTCTTCTTCTCTCATTTCAATCGTGTTTTTGGTTTCGTTTTATTCCCAAAATATATACTTATTCTAACAATTCTGAACTTTAATCATTACAATTATTTATAAATAGACTACTATTTTAACTAAATTAATATAATTAACATTTGATGTAATCAAAGTTACATTTTCGAAATTACTATAATATGAGAGACATTAGAGTTAATAAAAATCTTGCTTCAGTCAATAAAAAATATTGATTAAAATTTTGTAAAATGCGATTAAAAAGCTTTTATAGCAATGAACTAAATATGATTGAAGTCCCCATTAATTCTTGTTTGATGTCTATCTGCTGAACAAAAACTTGGATTCAATTATGAAACAAGGCTTACAAAGCGATGCTATGCGTTAACTACAATTCTAGAATGCATCAAACAGTTCAAATTTTTCAGTTCTATTGTTAGGATGCTTTCAATATTACTATTTTCAGAATTTTAATTAATTTTATCGATCCTATAAACCACATTATTCATAGCTGAATTGTGGTCAAAAAGTCATGTCCCATAGGATTAACATTGCCATAGACTTAGCGTTACCTATGTTAACCTTATGACATAGACCTAACATTACTCAAAAAATTAACGGTACCATAGACTAAACATTACCCGTGTTAAATCTGTGTTATAAACTTAAGCTGTAATCTTATAGAAACTCATGTTAAACATATGAGAGTCTCCTAATTAGTATTACCTTTGTGGCGCATTGCCATAAACTTAGCTTAAACCCATGTTGAACGTATGTTATAAACTTAACATTGCCCATAAGATTAGCATTGCATTAGACTTAGCATTACCTATGTTAAACCTATAATCTTGTAATTAAACCTTGTAATCCCATAGAAACCCATGTTAAACCTGTCAGTCTTTTTATGCTAAAATATAGCCATATGATTAACATGGTATTCCATGTTAAATCCCATAGGGTGGGGGAAGGGAGGGGACAAAACAATTCTATAAACCACATTCACCATAAATGAATTGTGGTATAAATACTTTCCATGAGTGCATTGTATGTAAGAATTGGTGATTTCACAGAATTTACGACAAAACACGGCTTTTGTGATACAAATAAAACCCTCTTTTTAGTGAAGAATATTGTAAAACAAACACATTTTTGTTCGCATTCATAGCTAACCATTTAATTGATTTGATGGTTAGATAATTTAGTTTCATATACAGTACAGTACTGTGTACATCATATACATGTATTTTAAAAGTTTGTATTTAAAGATATTGTT